CAGCATTATAGGTAAAGGAAATGTACACTTGTGAAGAGATCCATGGAAGGCAAATTGAGAGTATATGGGTAAAAATCATAGGAGAGAGAAACAACAGTGGCCTTACTGTGTCTGCTATAGGCCTTCAAGACAGACTGAAGACTTGGATGATGCTTTTCTATAGCAGATTACCAAACATTCAAAAATGAAAGATACAGTAGTCATGGGAGACTTCAATTACCCTGACATCTGTTGGGATTAAATCTCGGCCAAGAATGTTAAGTCCACCAAATTTCTCCATTTCCTCAATTATCATTTCATTTCCCAGAAGGTGGAAGAAGCAACAAGGGGGTCATCTATCTTGGACCTATTCCTCACCAACAGGGAGGAACTGATTGATAAAGTGGGAGTACTAGGAACACTGGAGGAAGTGATTATGTCCTCTTGGATTTCATGATACAGAGGAAAGGGAAAGCAGAGTATAGTTGGACATGCATTCTGGAATTTAAGAAGGCCAATTTCAAAAAGCTTAAGAAACTACTGGTTGATATCTCATGGTCAGAAATACTCAAAGAGGAGTCCAAGATGCAAGTTTCTTAAAGATGCAATACTGAATTCAGAAATGCAGACAATTCCAACAAGAAAGAAAAGCGGGAGGCATCTAAAAAACCGGTGTGGCTACATAAGGAGCATACAGATGAGCTGAGATTTCAGATGGGCATGCATAAGAAATGAAAGAAAGGGGAAATATCATTAAGGAGGAGTATATATGAGTAACCAACAGCTGGGGGAGGTTAGGTGGCCAAAGTTCAGAATGTGCTCAGGCTTGCAAGAGAGGTTAAAAATAATACTAAAGGTTTCTCTGTCTATGTTCATAGGAAGAGGCAGAACAAGCAAGTAGGAGATCCTATGCATGGAGAAGACAGAGAAATGCTGTTGGGTGGTAGTGGAATTGTAGGTATGAGCATAACCACCATAACACTATGCCTTGAACTCCCACCTCATCACACTGCTCCTGGACGATATGCATTGTTGATGGTACCAAAAGTCAACATGAGTTCAAGGTGAATCAACAGGGTCATATTCCCCCAATACAGGTTATCAATTAGGGCAATCAAGGCTGTTTCAGCGCCAAAATCCAACTTAGAATGGGCCTAGATAATCCACATTCTCCAAGGATTACTGAAATGTATGAGCTTTGAAGCCTCAAAGTATATGTTAAGCATAGACAATAAGTTAAGGAGTTTAACAATAAAGAGTAGTGTTTTGAAAACTGGAGTATGGTACCAATATTTTTATTGTAAACACCAAATTAAACATTTATCAACAATTTCTGCTAAAAATGTGACATTAACGTGTCACTTATGTGAATTGCATATTACTTCATGCTTATCAAAATAATAAATAAAAAGTGTTGCTGACAACGCACCCCCCCCAATAGCAACTAGACATTCTGTTTTGGCGCCCACAACCCAGGTCCCAGAAGCCATTTGGCTCCCAGCTTTTCTATCTCTGTTTCTAACACGGGTTCCAAGTAATCTCCTCGGACAGGTAAAATGACTGGCTTACTAACAAGCTCAACTAATTACTGAGCTATCATCAATCTTTAGACTTTCAGCCCTCATACATATACTTTGAATTATATTTCATCCGTTATTTTACAAGAATCTTCAGATTTATTTGTAATCTGAAGACTGAACTACACATCATATTACATGGAGATAGCAATGGTGATACGCAGAGCTGTTATCTGTACTTCTCAGAGAAGCTACACAGATTTGTTGTAATGCTCAGTTATAGACAACACAGGATTTTTGTTTCTATTTGGAAAAAAAAATCTAACGGGATAAGACTAGTCTTGTTTTCCAGCTGGCCTCCAATGCTCCTCTGAGCTGACATCTAGAAGAGGGGGGAAAGAGACACACAAATGATGGAAACTGCCTTGTCTCGATAATTGAAAAACACCAGGTTTGAAACACACATACATTTTAGCATAATCTTTATAACAGAAGCCATGTGTCACATAAGTTTGGAGAACAAAAAATGGTTCCTCTGTGTGTGACACCTTTATGGAGCACTATCAATGCATAAACATATTTTCATACCTGTTGTGTGATGGAATAAGCAAACATTACCACTGTGTAATCCAAAACTAGTAGGATCACCTAAATATATACACTTGTACCCAAGTTTCTGTAATCTACAATAACCAAGAGAAGCCTTATGCTTGACTAGGACTGTAGAAACTGGAGTTAAATCCCTATTCATCCAAGAAGCTCTCTCTCTATATATATTCTATTCACAAGGCTGTTAGGGGTTGACTATAGAAGTAATAAATAAACACACAAACTGAAGTAGGCATAACTTCAATTGCAGAGAAGCTGAATGGTGGGAGACTCAGGACTCACAAAATAAAGTACCTCCTTACACAGCACATTGTTAAAACTATGAAATTCACTACCACAAGTTGTGGAAAGTTAAAACCATCTGGTAATTTGAAGCCATCTTATGTTGGTGGCAAAGCAGAAAAGAGGAGACTAAGACTATCAATGGCGACTAGTCACAATGGCTATCTTCTATGTCTATGATCAGAAGAAGCATATTATCTGTATGCCAAGTTGCTGAGGAACAGCAGCAGCAGAGAGGGTTTCTGTCTGCATGTCCTGCTTATGGGCTTTCCAAAAGGCATCTGGTTCATCACCATAGGAAACAGAATACTGGCCTAGGTAAGCCTCTTCTGCTCTTAGAGGGAAGAATAGGTTTTTCTGTTTGTTTGTTTGTGTTTTTTTATTATTATTAAATTTATATACTGCCCTATACCCGGACTCAAGGCAGTTCACAATATAAAATTACAATATAAAAACACAACAACCAAATAACCCTTTTTCTACAAGTTAATTTGTATCAAGTTAAACTTAGTGAAAAAATCAAAAAATGTGTTTATCACTTTCCCCTCCATATGTATGTATGAAGGTTTTGGGAAAAGTGAAGACTTCAGAGACAGAAAGTTACTAGCTTAAGTCATTGTTATATAAATGCTTATTTTTTTTACTTTACACCAAATTCATCCCAAGTGCTCCAAGCAAGCAACACGTCTTACTTCTGAGCAAACATTAGGAACAAGCCAATTCATTCAATGAGATTTACTACCTAGAAAATATACATGGTAGCACAGCCTTGAACAACTTATGAATGATTTTAGGAAGTGGGTTTTCTTTGTTAACCTCAAAACAAAGCAGAGGTTTGACACCAGTGCTACAGCAGGCAAAAAGCAATTCATGCAAAGCCCACAAGACTAGTCACTGAATTTTGGAAGCATAATTGTATCTAATGATTGCAATAAATCTATACCTCACTGGAATCTACACAGATAACATTATTGCCTCAGTTCAAAACTTGCAAAGCCAGATGTTAAAGTCTCATTGTACATAAACATCTATTCAGCGATTACCTTCCTCTACCACAAAAGCAAATGCTGACCCCTTAAGTCTTGGAGCACAGTTAATGCCAACACACCTCCCATGGAAGGAAACCCCTCCCTTTGTATAGGTACCTCTAGAACTGCTGGATGCATTGTAGTCACTTCCCCTCTATGCCCAGCCCTCTCCTTACTGCTGGAGTTAGTGAATACATAAAGTTCTGTGGCACTTCTGTCTGCTCAACAGCAAATGGCTAGTGGCTGCTCTCAGGAAGCACCCTATGTTTCATCCTAGTAGAAGCAGCGTTATCAGAGGGTGGCTGCTGAAATTCCTCAGGACTAACCACATACTACATGTTGAAAGAATACCTAATATTAGGAGCAGCTAGTAAAGGGGAGAAAGGAGAAGGGGAAAGCAACAGTCCAGGTCTGGCAGACTTGGGAGGCGATCCTATGCGCTTCCTTGGGAGTAGCACAAGACTTCTGCAAGTTACGCACGCTCATTTATGAAACTAAGTTCGAAGGGGGGTTACCCTGAAGTAAAGATAGCCTTGCTGTACAAAATCACCGCAGGCGCAAAGTCCTGCCCAGCTTGCATGGACAAACCGTGGCGACTAGGGCTACAACCCTCACAGTTCTTACAAGGGAGTAAGGTCCTACTGAGCACTGTGGCAACATCTGGATTCTAGTTGTGTTTACTCAGAACTATATTGAAGAATTAGGAGACCCAAACTCCACATGGTCGGGTCCATGGAAGAGAGCGCCCCACCCCCACCCCACATAGCCAAAAGGCACAGAAAGGCAAGTGGAGATTAGGGTTTGGCACAGGACGCCCATTCTTCCTGGAGTGTGTATGTGTATGTATTGAAGGTTGGGGAACAGAAATGACTGCTATGTTGGGGTGGGGGTGTGCTTATGCATGTATTTGGAGGCGCACAGGAAAAAAAACCCAATTTCCGTGGGGTTCTTTGGGGGGGCACATTAAAAGTATATTCCCTTCTCATAATCCCAGAGATCCAGCATTGGACTCCGCTGCAAACCTTCCCCCTCCTGCGCCTCCTACACTCGGCAGGGAAAAGTCGCCCCCTCAGCCTGCGCTATCCAGGCCCGCCTGAGTCAGAATTTCCCCTTCTTCCTCCCGTTGCCGAGGCGGGGGGCTGGAGGCGAGGGCCCTGGCAACCCAAATATGCGGGAGGCCGGGCGGGAGAGGAGGAGGCTCTTAGCCCGTGGGCAGGGTCCGCGGCGACTTACCCGTCTCCCACCACCACACACTTAATGGCCTGCATCGGGGCGGCTGCTGCTGCTTCTTCGTCGTCGTCGCCGCCGGTTCCTGTTGCTCGCCGAGGAGCCCGCGAGGCGTCGTGGCGGGGAGGAGAGCGAGGAGGAAATCCCCAAAGGGCCTCGGCTCTTTCCCGTGGGAGGAGAGGAAGTTGGCTGAGGGAAAACGGTCACGGCGCCGCCGGAGCAACGGCCACCACCCAAAGCGCGGGGCGGGCGAGCGGAGCCTGTGAGGAAACAGGAAGCGGCCGCTCCGCTCACATCCGGCCTCGCGGCCTCGCCCTCTTCCCTCCTCATCGGCGGGACCGCCTTCGGGAATGTCTCGCTGGGCCTGGCCTCACTCAAGCCCCGACGGAAGTTGGAGGGAGAGAGGAGGTGGGGGGGGCGGGGTAGGGAATAGCGTCACGTTTCGGGCGCGCTCGGAACGACTTCGGGGAAACTCGGGTCAGTAGGACGCGGTTGGCCGTCGCGTTCTTCTTTAAAAGACACTATTCGGAGAGCGCCCCTCCCGGCAGCATTCGGAAACGCTCGGTTTTGCCGGTCTTTCGGGAATGTTCGGAAGGACTCGGGGGGTAAGGCGTTGAGGGGGCGACGGCGTTCGGCCAGCGTTCGACTCTTCGTGTGCGTCCTCGCGCCTCGCCCTCGGGACAGTATTTACCCCTCCCTACCCCGCTCGCCTCCTGTTCGGACATTTCCGCTGCCGGCCGATTCGGACATTGGCGTCGGTTGAGGAGGGGTCGCCATCTTTGTGCTACTAACCTACTCAGAAGGCGCGAGGGGAGCTGTGGGTCAGGGACGGGGGCGGTTTCCTATCAATCTCCGTCGTAGCCATTTTTCTTTATATATAAAGAAACTCGGGGCTTGAGTGTATGTATTTTCTACTCATTATATATTTAATATAAAAATATTGATCATTTTCTTAAGCAAAGCGCCCCATCTAAATCTCTTACCATCTCGGGAAAAAGTGGTTTTAGTTGTAGTGAAAATGACATGCAGTTTTCATCAAAGTGCACTAAAATGATTAAAAACGACTCGCCATAACACACAACTATCTTTATTACGGTCCAGAGACCCAACAAAACATTACAAAACAATACAGAGTTCATACAGCCTACCTCCAGGTTAATCAAGCACTTTGTTTGGAATATAGGGCTCATTTGTTCTTGCAACCACCGATAAAAACTTTGCCACTGCCAACGTTCTAGCTTTTGTCCGGTCTTCCCGTAGGAACCTGACATAGTGAGCCTCTGACTTTCCCGGGAAAGGCACCAGCAAGGGTAGTATCAGTTCAGCCCTGGCCTGCTCATACTTCCATACTCGTCTTAACAATATTGTCTTCACCACTATTTATTTTTATGTTTAGGTCCCACAAAGGAGCTCAATGTGTGCATAGCTCTCCCCACCATATCCTCGCAACATCCTAGCAGGTCAAAATTCAACAGGCGCGGTGCGGGGGACAGGGAGAGGCAGTGATAAGTCTTACAGTTCAGTTATGCAACTTGAGAACTGCAGGTTTCCCCAACCTGATGGCCTCTAGTTGCTTCAGACTACAGCTCAACATCTGGAGGGCTCTAAATTTCAGAGTATGGCAGAAACCCCTGTAAAGCCAGCATGGATTTTACTGTAATTTCTCTTATTCCAGATGCTAAACTGTTCTGAGGACATTGCAAGCTGAAAGGTAGGATACCTGTGCTTTACAAAAATTAATAAATGCTGTAGAATGAAGCAGCAGACTGGACAAATGGCAGCAGAGTTGAGGAAGAGAGGCATTCTGTACTCCTCCTGTACATTAAAAATATTCTACCACATAAGGTTGTGCATTAATGTCAATGCAAATTTGTTAATAAAAAATGCAAAGTTATTAATCTAGTTCAGGCACAGGCAAACTCAGCCTTCCAGATGTTTTGGGACTACAATTCCCATCATCCCTGACCACTGATCCTGTTAGCTAGGGATGATGGGAGTTGTCATCCCAAAACATCTGGAGGGCTGAGTTTGCCTATGCCTGATCTAGTCACCCCACAGCTAAATTGGCTTTAAAAGGTAAAGGGACCCCTGACCATTAGGTCCAGTCGTGACCGACTCTGGGGTTGCAGCACTCATCTCGCTTTATTGGCGGAGGGAGCCGGCATACAGCTTCTGGGTCATGTGGCCAGCATGACTAAGCCGCTACAGGGTCATGGGGCCAGCATGACTAAGCCGCTTCTGGCGAACCAGAGCAGCGCATGGAAATACTGTTTACCTTCCCACCGGAGCGGTACCTATTTATCTACTTGCACTTTGGCGTGCTTTTGAACTTCTAGGTTGGCAGGAGCAGGGACCGAGCAACAGGAGCTCACCCCGTCACGGGGATTCAAGCCGCCGACCTTCTGATCGGCAAGTCCTAGGCTCTGTGGTTTATCCCACAGCGCCACCCGCGTCTCTTAATTGGCCTTAAAGCTAGTGTAAATGCCTTGTCCTGATGTATCGATGTGCACCAGCTGAGGGAAAGCCCTGCTGGAAGAAGTTAAGTTGGCAGAAGTTACACTAGTGTAAAGGACCAAAAAAAGTCTGTAAAGGGGATGGGAGTGTTGGGCAAATGAATAAATAGTTGTGCTGCGTCAGAACTTCTTTCATCCACTGGTCCCATTCCTGAAGCTCTTACACCCCTTACATCAACAAAAATACAATTTTGATTAAAATTCACCCCACAGTAGTCAATGGAAGGGTATAAACTGAAAGTTTACACTGCCTTCCCAGCAACCTACCACCAGGAACAGGTGTGATACAGCTTAATTTGCACAGGAAATATGTCAGTGTATCTGCCTTCTGTCATATCTGTCTGGTTAAGATTGCTCTCCTGGCTGCAATCCCTTATCTGGAAGCTAGTTCCATTGAACTCAGTGGCACTTACTTCTGAGTAGATGTGCATGGGGCTGTATTCCAGCTGTGATCTGCAAGATTTGCGTTTCCAGTAATAACTATTTTTGTTATTTCTTTCCCAGATCAACACTCCGAAACCATTACTATACACCTGTGCATTTTTATGTCATTCTGTTGTGAAGACTCACTAATGATGAGTACATCTAAGAACATAGGAAGCTACTTCATACTTATCCATCAGTTCATCTAGCTCAGTATAAGAGCAGGTCTCTCGGTTTGTTTGTTTTTAAAGAAATATTTATTAAGGTTTTACAAAAAACATAGGTTTACAGAATAGAAAAAAATTAAAACAAAGATTAACAAGCTAAAAAAAACACACATAGAAAAAAGAAGAAAAAAGATACAAAATGCAAAAAACAAATAGCTAGAAAGGAAAAATTTAAAAAATAAATCCATTTTCCAAGATCTTTAGGCTCATTTACTTATTTCCTTGACCTCCTCATGCCTCCCCTTTTTGTATTCCCATTTACAAAAACATTTCAGCAAATCCTTACCCTCTTTCATTTATCTTTACTCTATATTAGCCTATTATAACTATAGATTTTCATCCAATTATCAATCCGTATTTACATATTCTTATTAATCTTGTTACCAATACCACTTATTTTCAATCCAACATCATTTTAACATTCATTAATTTTACAGTATTTCTGCAAATAGTCTTTAAATTTCTTCCAATCTTCTTCCACCAACTCTTCTCCCTGGTCTCGGATTCTGCCAGTCATTTCTGCCAATTCCATATAGTCTATCACCTTCATCTGCCACTCTTCCAGTGTGGGTAAATCTTGTGTCTTCCAATACTTTGCAATCAGTATTCTTGCTGCTGTTGTTGCATACATAAAAAAAATTCTATCCTTCTTTGGCACCAATTGGCCGACTATGCCCAAAAGAAAGGCCTCTGGTTTCTTCAGGAAGGTCTCTCGGTTTTGAGGCAGGGGCTTCTCCCTGAGTCCCAAGAAATGCCAGGGATTGAATCCGGGGTTTTCTGCATGCAAAGCAAATGCTTCACCATTCACCCATAGCTCAGTGGCCTGTATTTCTTTTGTTTAACTTTTTGCCCCATTGTAAAAGACGGAAAACAACTCACAAAGTTTAGGAAATCTGCTTCCTGTTAATTTTTTACTTTGGACATTAAGTTAGTTACTAAACCGAAACCGGTACAGTACCTGCGTAAATGATACTGAATACTCTCAAAATGTGGACAAACAGTTCTTTAACTACCTGATGCAAAGAGGAAGTCTATTTAAAAGTTTTGAGAAGTTGTGTAATGTGACTTTATATGTGTATGTTGGCAGAAGAACAGCATGATTCCTGTACGTGGGTGTGGATTGCTAGAATAATCATGCTGATGTAATCCTGGAAAATTTGACACAGACTATAAAGGCTAGGGGAATCATGTTCATGCTGAGTTTTTCAAGGAACACTGCCTTTTTTATTTTTAACGTCAGCTTATATTGAAATATGTTCAGTATTGTCTGGAATTGTCATCTTCACTGCAAAAAAGAGAATTAAATATTAAAACCTACTTGCAGCACTGTGTTATACATTTCTACTCCCACTGTCTTCAGTGAGGTTTACTACCAGATAAGTAGGCAGAGGGTTGTAGCCTATAAGTTGAGTAATATTCACCATCCTGACCGGGTTACCATGCCCTGTTCTTTTAACATCTTCTTTAAGCTCCAACCTGTACAGTGGTACCTCAGGTTAAGTACCGTACTTAATTCGTTCCCGAGGTCCATTCTTAACCTGAAATTGTTCTTAACCTGAAGCACCACGTTAGCTAATGGGGCCTCCTGCTGCCGTTGCGCCGCCGGAGTACGATTTCTGTTCTCATCCTGAAGCAAAGTTCGTAACCTGAAGCACTGTTTCTGGGTTAGCAGAGTCTGTAACCTGAAGCGGATGTAACCTGAAGCGGATGTAACCCGAGGTACCACTGTACACGGGAATGAGTCCCATTGAATTCAAAGGGACTTAATCCCGAGTAAATGTTATTTTTAGTGGATATCCTACCCCTTATCATAAGGTCCTAGAGGAGGTTACAGCAATAAAAAATACAGTATTAAAATCAGTGTTTATAGGATTGTGGTTAATTTTCTATAGATTTTTTCTGTTGTAGTACTGAGGCTATAAAACAGTTTAGTTGTACTGAAAAGAAAGAAAAAAATAGCAGCTGATAGTTGCAGTTTTAGATGTTCTAAGAAAGGCACTAAAATTAAAATGTTGCTTCATAAGGTTCCATGAGTCAATGGAGGGTGAAAACTACGGTATGTCTTAACAAAGTCAATAAAAGGATACCATGTTGTATAGAAGGTGTGATTTCCCCCTCCCATATCAATATTCCCTTTCTTAAATTGTTAATTTGTCCACAAGCACAATGTCCCAAACTTGTGAAATCCAGGCTTCAAAACGATTTGCATTTAAAGTTTTCCCATTTTTTGCAGTCACTAATCTAGCTGCAGTTAATAAATGGATGGTGAGGTCTTTATTGGTTATGTTCCAAATCAGAGGAGTAACATAATATAGTATAGCTAATTTGGGGCTGGTTGTAGTGATTTGTCTCACCATTTGATTGTTTGAAAAGCTTTTCCCCAAAAGGGATTAATTTTGGGGCAAAACCACCACATCTGCACTAGAGAGCCAGGTAAATCACATTCCTGACAGCAAGGGTTAGATGTGTATAATCTGTTTGGGCACATGTACCAGTGATGCACTATCTTTAACACATTTTCTCGAGTTCCAGATGAGTTGGATGCACATGGTAGTTTATTTCAAATTTGTTCTCAGAGCTGTTCCTCTAATTCTTGTCCAAAACCTTTTCCCCATTGTAGTCTTAATGAAATGAGAAGAAGGGGAGCCAATTGTGTGAGGATTTTATATAGTTGGGAGATTATTTTATTTCCCAGTAGGTTGGTTGAGTTGAGTAGCTGCTCAAAACTATTTAAGCTATGTAATGCCCTTTGGACAAAGCACCCAAAGAGCAATGCACACATGACACGCAGAGGGCCGGATTTAGGCTTGATGAGGCCCTAAGCTACTGAAGGTAATGGGACCCTTTATATGTCCAGCTGTCCCTTTGTCAACAACAAATTGTTGCTGCTTTTTGTGTTGAATATATGCTACATGGTAATTTATGGACCCAATAGGTATCTAAAGCCATTTGTACATCCAGAATGTAGGCACCCTATATATAGAAATGAGCAAACCAGTGATATTTTAGGGAGCAGGCTAGCAGACAGGGCCCATTACTTACATCATAGGAGCCTACACAACACAAAACACTGTTTGCTGTATGTAGGTTTTATTTTGTTTTTTATCTTATATTTTGGAAATGTACATCCAGGGTTCTTTTCCTTTAAATTGTTTTGGGGCCCCCAAGGGAGTGGGGCCCTAAGCTATAGCTTGTTTAGCTTATACGTAAATCTGGCACTGGACATGCACAACCAGTGGCTCACACCCTAGAGCTTGTTGTTGTTTAGTAGTTTAGTTGTGTCCGACTCTTCGTGACCCCATGGACCAGAGCATGCGAGGCACTCCTGTCTTCCACTGCCTCCTGCAGTTTGGTCAAACTCCTGCTGGTAGCTTCGAGAATACTGTCCAACCATCTCGTCCTCTGTCGTCCCCTTCTCCTTGTGCCCTCAATCTTTTCCAACATCAGGGTCTTTTCCAGGGAGTCTTCTCATGAGATGGCCAAAGTATTGGAGCCTCAGCTTCAGGATCTGTCCTTCCAGTGAGCACTCAGGGCAGATTTCCTTCAGAATGGATAGGTTTAATCTTGCAGTCCATGGGACTCTCAAGAGTCTCCTCCAGCACCATAATTCAAAAGCATCAATTCTTCAGCAATCAGCCTTCTTTATGGTCCAGCTCTCACTTCCATACATCAGTACTGGGAAAACCATAGCTTTATGCAGGTTTTATTTTTTTTATTTTTTCCCCTTATATTTTGGAAATGTACATCCAGGGGTTTTTTCCCTTTAATTTTTTTTGGGGTCCCCAAGAGAGTGGCGCCCTAAGCTATAGCTTGTTTAGCTTACACGTAAATCCGGCACTGGACACACACATACGGTGGCTCACACCCTAGAGCAGGCATAGACAAACTCGGCCCTCCAGATCATCCCTAGCTAACAAGACCAGTGGTCAGGGATGATGGGAATTGTAGTCAGAAAACATCTGTAGGGCCAAATTTGCCTATGCCTGCCCTAGAGCAAGAGCTGCTAAAGTGTGGTCCCCTCCGGATGCTGCACCACAGCTCCCATCAGCCCCAGACAACCTCTGTGGCCAAGGACAGGAGCTGCCATCTAGCAACAAGTTATAAACTCCACAGGTTAGCCATAAACCATGGTCTGTTTTGGCCCTTCAGATGCCGCTAAACTACAGCTCCCAGCATCCAGAACCGCTGACCTTGCAGGCTGGGGCTGATGGGAGCTGAAATCCGTCCGCATCTGGAGGACCACGAATTCCTTCCAGTTGTTTTTTAATCTCTCTTCCCCCGCCCGCCTCTCTGGGAAGAAGTGATTGGTCAGGAAGGGAGCTGTGCGTCGTGACGTAGCGGCGCCGCGACGACGCCGGCCGCGGCGGCAAACCCTGTTGCCCGAACGTAAACACCTTGCTTGGCCGGGGCCGCCTTTCCCTTCGCTCCTCCGACATCCGGGGTTTTGCGAGGGGTCAGCGCGAGCCCGACGGGCGGGGCGGGGGGGAGGGCGGTTAGGCGCAAGCTGTTTGGGGGGGGGAGAGGAGAGGGCGGAGCCTATGAGGCCTGGCTCTGCAGGTGAGTGTATATGGCGGTGGCGGCGACGACGCTGCTGTCCGCCCTGGTTGCCAGGTTCTCTCAGTCGGCGGCCGCCCGGTCGTACGGGGTCTTCTGCAAAGGGCTGACTCGGACCCTCCTCATCTTCTTCGACTTGGCTTGGAAGCTCCGCATCAACTTCCCCTATCTCTACATCGTGGCCTCCATGATGCTCAACGTCAGGCTACAGGTGACCCTCGCCTTGTGAGGGACGGGGAGGGGGGTTGGGGAGGGGGCGTTTGAGGGGGGAGGGAAAGGTGCTCTCGCCACCCCACACTTCCCTCATGGGTGAGGGTGCCGGTCTCTTCCGGCCGGTGGGTTGGGTGAGGGTGCTTCCCTATAAAGTAAAAGCACATTTAAATTAAAAACAAACCACGCGCACGTTTTTATGTATCTTCCTCTTTTAGGGGATATACAAAGTGAGTCCTTTGAAAGAGGCCCCGTGGTACGTACCTCAGGTTAAGTACTTAATTCGTTACGGAGGTCCATTCTTAACCTGAAGCACCACTTTAGCTAATGGGGCCTCCTGCTGCAGCCACGCCACCGGAGCACGATTTCTGTTCTCATCCTGAAGCAAAGTTCTTAACCCGAGGTACTATTTCTGGGTTAGCAGAATCTGTAACCAGAAGCGTATGTAACCCGAGGTACCACTGTATAAGCTAAACAAGCTATAGCTAAGGGCCCCAAACTGGATGTGCATTTTCAAAATATAAGATAAAAAACAAATAAAATAAAACCTGCATACAGCAACAGTGTTTTGTGTTGTGTAGGCTGCTATTTGTTATGTGCAAATGGCTTGAGATACCTATTAGGTCCATAAATTACCATATAGCATATATTCAACACAAAAAACAGCAACAATTTGCTGGACATATAAAGGGCCCCTTCAGTAGCTTAGGGCCTCATCAAACCTAAATCCAGCCAATATCCCACCTTTCCCCCAAGGTGAATGGCTGTTCCCTATTTGTCACCCCTGCTCTTCCTACTTCATCCTCACAGCAACCCTGTGAGGTAGTCTAGGGTTGAGCTACTGGGTGGGGAGTGGAGTTGAGAAGGAAGGAGGTGCTCCTTGGACTGTCCTCAGCTCCCCGCTTGAGCCGTAGGGCTTCAGATTGTGGGAGTCTGTGCTTGCATACCGAGTAAACACAAATGAACCCATCTGGCACATATTTCGTGTATTTGTTTTGTTAAGATATTTCCTGGGCAAACACCTGTCCAAAGTGGCTCACAGTCACAACAGGAAATGAAAATGATTGAAATTTACGAAATAGTTTTTTTAATTACTGCATTTTGTAATCTGGCTTTCCTCCAGTACAGTCATACCTTGGGTTGGATGTGCTTCAGGATGAGCGCTTTCGGGTTGCGCTCTGTGGCAACCCGGAAGTAATGGAGCACGTTGCTTCCGGGTTTTGCCGCTCACGCATGCGCAGACGCTCAAAATGATGTCACGCGCGGAAGCGGCAAAACGTGACCCACACATGTGCAGACGCACAGTCGCGTCTTACGTTCTATTCAGTATGCGAACAGGGCTGCGGAACGGATCCCGTTCACATCCCAAGGTACCACTGTATTCACACTTCCCGCCTCAGTCCTTCATTTTATTCTTGTGAAGCCAGTGGTGTAGTGGTTAGAGTGTGAGGCTTGGACCTTGGAGGCCAAGGTTCAAATATCTGCCCAGTTATGAAACACTGGCATATTTTATTGGCATAATCAGAAGCAGTATATAATAATGTTGCTTTCTGGATGATAGAAAAAGGTATATTTTTAAGCTGATATTTCCTCAGTTACGTGGTAAGCTTTGATATTGGAACCTGTGGAAAGTGGTGTGCTCACTACTAAATTTTACTTACCGGTAATTTGCCAAACTTTGGGCAGTGTGTCTGCATGTTTTGCTCTTTCTGTTTTTTTGTTTTTGTTTGCATTTGTTGTAAATGGACACCATGGCCATTGGGCTAAGAAAGTCAAAGATTACTCAGATTCTGACCATTCTCTTGATCTCTTTTTCTAGTGCTGTAGATGGATCTGTAACTTAAAAAAAATAATCAAATTTAAGAGTTTGGATTTCTTAGTAGAACTGTGTATTGCCCCCTCCCCCCACAAATTATACACTTGTTTTTTCCCCAGAGGTCTCAGAGAGAATCTGGGACATTATCAAGGAGGGCACAAAGCATATTCGCACCTTCCCAGCAGCAGTTAGTTTCATAAAAAGGGCTCTTGTGTTACTATACAAAACCCTGAGCAACTTGGGTCCAAGTAATCTTAAGGACCACTTGGAACCTTATATTTCAGCCTGATCACCAATACAGTGGTACCTCCAGTTAAGAACTTAATTCGTTCTGGAGGTCCGTTCTTAACCTAAAACTGTTCTTAACCTGAAGCACCACTTTAGCTAATGGGGCCTCCCACTGCTGCCGTGCCACTGGAGCACGATTTCTGTTCTCATCCTGAAGCAAAGTTCTAAACCCGAGGTACTATTTCTAGGTTAGCGGAGTGTGTAACCTGAAGCATCTGTAACCCGAGGTACCACTGTATCATCTGGAAAGGTATTGAGAGTTGTCCCCCATGATACAGAGACCCAGCTGGCTTCAGCCAAAAGCTGCACATTTAGAATGACTGACCCCATGCTATGGAAGACTCTTCCAGCAGAGATTTGACAGGCATCCTCAGTTTTGAAAACTATCTAAGATTATGGTCTGAAGTCGCATGACTTTACTGACTCAAAAATAGTCATTGTCTAGTCATTGCCTGTATGGGAGACCACAAGGAAACCCTCCCTGTATGGGAAACCACAAGGAACCCTCCCTTTAGTTCTATGGAAGAAAGGGAGGATATAAATGTAATTCAATAAATCATGTCACTTGTAACTAGGTTACATACATTTTTTGGGTAATTGATGGCTTCACTGATCGCAGTCTGTCCTAGATGTAATGTGGGAGGTAGTGCATTGTATTCTGTATCTCTGTTCAAATCTATGTTCACCCTTACTGTACTTAGTTCCTTGACATGGGTGTGGTTTCACAGATTTGTCTGGAGTGCTGTGATAGGAACAAGCTGGGTGGGAGGGTGGAGAATTTTCCATGGCTTTTATTTTTTTGTAGAAAACTCTCTGTTTCATAACTCGATTAGTAACAATGAGTGGGTGCCTATAGCAAATTTATTATTAGGCAATCTTGGAAGTTGCAAAAATTTAAATTTGTATTATATAGAAATAAAAGAAACATGCTTAATAAAAGAAACATGCTTAAAAACTCTCTCTAGGGCATCAGAATTTTGTTCTGATGCAGATTGATAATGTTCCAATGCAGACCACAAAACAGACTAATTTTGCAATTTGCAATTTTTTCCAGAAAACCAACATCACTGGTAGCAAGATTAATATAGCTACCTGCAAATTGGCTTGTCAAGTTGCACTAAGAACAAACGTTCTGTGTGACCACCAAACTTACATAAGGGTCTGTTTACGGTATATCAAGGTGCTCTTGTTGTGTTAAATAGTTTTGCCATAGCATGATCTCTTCATCTCCTGAGTTTAAAACTGTATGTAGATCAATGACTGTTGTACAGAAAATGTGATGCTCTGCATTTTGATACATGTCCTATTGTTGCCATGTTAAGATGGAAATGCCTACAGTCTCCTGGTCTCTCTTCTGCTTAGAGGAAATTATTCCTTGTTCAGTAGAGAAATCAAGCCACTTGTCTCAGCAGAAACCAATTTTTTTAAAAAATGAGACTTCTCCAACATTTTGCTTAATATTTTTAAAGAAATTGTGCTCTAGAATGATTCTGGATTGTGACATCATAATTTACCTCCTGGAATCTTATTGGTTGAAGTTAGCAATTGTTATGACAGTTGTGTTGCATCAGCTCACAAAAGGGCAAAACTAAATTACAGTATTCTAGTTGTAAAGCGAAACAGAAGGTAATGTGTACTAGAATAGAGGAATGTTTGGTTTTGAACTGCCTTTCTTTATGATCTCCAAAATGAGTACAGGCACACCCACACCCAACTTGTGATTGACTTGCGCACGACCGCATATATGTGTGGTGGTGGGAAATAATTAAATCATATAATTCATACCCGGAAATGGAGGGAGAGAGCTGGAGAGTCCTTGGAGCCTGAAGAGGACTTCAAAGAGGGCAGAGAAGAGACTGAAGGCACAACCGGGCCTTGCTTAGACTGCACAGCCTCTCTGCCTAACAGCTGGTGTGTGGGGTAGCGCATCACCAGCAGCTGCTTTTCTGCTCATCCTCCAGCCTCCTGCCAACCCCAGAGCTTCAATTCCAGTTGAAGTTTTTTGGTACAGTATTTTTGATCTGGACTGGAGAGAGAGCAGTAGAGAGGGCATTTAAAGGGTGTTTAGAGGGTTCTCTCCACATGTGATTTTCACTTATGTGTGTGCAGGATGCTAGAACATAACCCCTGCATAAGTGGAGGGTCGCTTGTATAATATTTGAGTACTCCATAGGGTGGTTTATGAGGCTAAGGAGCAAAAAGTAAAGTCAGAACTTTCTGTGGTAAAAAGTAAGTGGGTTCAGAAGATCTGAAAATAGGGTATAGATAGATACTCTTACTTTAGAATGGGATTTCTGTTTGCTTAAAACAAATACTTGGATATGAGATGGTGGTTAGAGTTTCAACTTTAAATCTGTTTACTCAGTAGATTAGCAAACCAGTGTTAGAAACTGAGATGTGGAAGCTAGGAGCTAAATGGCACCTTAATCTGAGGTTATGAGCGCAACAATGGAATGTCTAGGCTAATTTTTTTAATAACAAGAATACAAATCTGAAAATGAATGAACTGCAGCTAAAATATTATGTTCATTTTTCACATGGTCTAGTCCTTTCCCCCCATATATTCTTAAGAGGGTCTCTTCTCCAGTCTCCAGAGAGTAGCTGGAAGTGGGGAGGCAGAAAAAGGTCCTCCTTCCCTTCCACTCTGCAGTTTTAATCTGAAATCTCAGGCGCAGTGCTGCATCCAGAGCTCAAAAACAGTTCGTGCTAATGAAATATACCCTGTCACAAAATGCACCTAGAACAATGGGAGTTTTGAACACTGTAGCAAAAAGATTTATGGTAATAATGATGATGATGATGGACTGCTTTTCCCCTCCAAAATGAAGAAAAAAATTACGTTGATCCAGGGACAGGCCACACATATATTGGCCTATTTCTACCTTTTTTCTTAATGGTGACACAGACCATTCATAATGTAAGAATATTCTTCACAACTGTGAACAGGGCAGAGGGGTGGAGTAAGTGAAGACAAGCTATAACAATTAACTATAACGTTGTTCACTGCTCCTGCTCAGGCTGCGCAGAAAGAAGCATCTTGGATCCTGAAATTCATTCTGATGGTGCAAATAAAATGTAACTGATAGAATTACAGTGGTACCTCGGGTTAAGAGCTTAATTCATTCCGGAGGTCTGTTCTTAACCTGAAACTGTTCTTGACCTGAAGCACCACTTTAGCTAATGGGGCCTCCTGCTGCCGCCGCGCCGCCGGAGCATGATTTCTGTTCTCATCCTGAAGCAAAATTCTTAACCTGAGATACTATTTCTGGGTTAGCGGAGTCTGTAACCTGAAGCGTCTGTAACCTGAAGCGTATGTAACCCGAGGTACCACTGTATACAGGATGTGTTCTTAGTGTGTGAAAACAGTCAAGATCCAAGGATCTCCAGGCATGCCCCTCCAGATGGTGGAGATGTCAGGCGCCATCCTGGAGCCCAGGCATCTTCGCTGGTTATAAGTAGCCAATAGCCAGGGTGCAAAATGTGCCTGGCACCTGGCTAATTTTGAACACTGGAGAGGGAAATGGACAGCATACAAACCAAAGACCACTTGTGTACATAACGGTAAATGGGCCATTTCTTCAGTATCTTAGAAAAACACCTGCATTGAGGTTTTGGTAATGTGCAATGATTTAATCAATTAATCTTTCAGTTCATTTTAATCTGCCTAAAGGCAGATTAGTGCATTAGAAGAAATCTTTGTTGTGCTTTATAGCCCTAGTGACAACAAGTAACTACTTCTGTTTTTTGTGTTGTTTCAGGTACATATTGAGATTCACTAAATCGTGACTTATGCTACAACTAAAAGGCATTCCATTATTTACTACAGTTCAGTACAATGCAGAGTTTGGAGGACAGACGGGTGATGCATATCTCTTATATTAATATGGAACAGGAAGATGATGTAGGACACCAACACCTGCGTAAAAATGCCCTGAATGAGCAGAATGAAATTCTTCGTCTTCCAAATATCCAGTCGTTAGTGAACAACTCTCAAGTGGATAATAATCATTTGCAAAAGGAGTTCTTCTCTCTTAAGATCAGGAACTGCACTCTGTTTAAAGCTGTCCCATTGCCTCATATTGGCAAGAAAAGGCCACCACGCTTGAATGATGCGGCGAATGGAGCTGCGTCTTCCAAGGAATCGCTAGGTCCACTTTTTTCTCCTGAAAAAGATATATTTGAAAAGCTCTTTAAACACTTTGATAGCACTGCAGTGACAGGCTGGCTGGAGAAGGCACGCAACTTCATTAGTGACATGGGCACGTGGAGTTGTTGCGGAGATAACTTTGTACGCTTTGCACATTTCTGGCTGTCTGAACTCCAGTACAACCACAAAGAGCAACTGTTAGAACTGGAAATGGGAGTTATTGAGGATGAAGTACGCCTTGCTTTTGAGGGGACAGGCTCCAAGGAGTTCCAGCCATCGGATTTGAATTCCATTCTTGCAGCTGCGCTGAGTGAATATCCCATCGGACTTGTGAACGACCAGAACCCATATGTTTTTCTTGACTATTTAAACCTTATGTCTTCAGCGGACACATCTGAATATAAGGAAATGCTTTCAGCTATACAGTACACAACCAAGAACCCTCAGATAGCTCAGTGGTTGCTAGCTATACGAGCATTTGCACTTGCAAATCTCTGGCATGCAATAGTGAAGGTAAAAATGCAATAGTTTTGAAATGCTAGTGCCAGTTTGTTGTAATGTTCCTTGTAAAGTACTTTTAAGATCTGTCAGTGGCCAAGAGAGATAATAACAGGAAGTGTTGTAGTAATAACTTTTAGGCAAAAAAACTTTAGGGAGTTAGTGAGCTGTCATACCTTTTATTATGGTGTATGTTGATGGAGAAGATTTCAGTATTTTCAGGCCTGTTGAGTAAAATGTGTAGAACTGGCTGATAACAGGCATTAAGGACCCCATCCTGTTATTTCTTCTGAATTAGTATATAAATATTACTAGGACAGGGTTGTATCCAATACTAGTCCTATTGCAATTAGACCTATTGAAATTAATGGACATGCATAATTTAGGTTTATTAATTTCACTGTATCTACTTGGAATATAACTTAGTTGGATACAACCTGCCATGTTTGAACTTTGCACCCCTTTGGGCTGTTTCAAATGAATTATGGTGACAAACCTATATTTTTCATTGCATCTACACTCGTCATGAAAAACCCCAACTTTCTGCCTTGTGCATGATAGTTGAATGCAAGTATTGTGAGTGTACATTACTTTTTTAAACATAATCTGTTAAGCATCTCTGTTGGGCCTTCCTAAAACTACTTGCCCTTGTTCACACTATGAGATAGTTCAACTGTAATGCCAAAATTGCCACCATCTGACAGATGCATGATTTGCGAGTGGCCACTGAGCCAGGATCTGAAACTGTGGCTTGAACTGTTTTGCAAACAGCAGTTTGGTCAAGCTGGTTTGGCATTCCACCCCAACAAAAATCACCATTGCATCTGCTCTTGTTTGATAATTCTCTGAAAAGACAGTGGCAGGGGGAAGCTGCAAAGCCCATGTTTTCCCTGTTTGGCATTTCAATTGAACAAATCCTATGAGAAGTCTCCCTACTCCAGCAACGTTAGTAAGGTCTTTTTATTCTAAGCATATCTCTGATACTGAACACACTCGTGCTTCTTTTAAAAGAGCTGGTTACTCTAGAGCTGTGAAATTTATCCGCAGGCAATGAATGTGTCTAGAAGTCAGCACAAATGTCTCATTATTAATCTCAGCTATATTCGTCTGGGGTGGAGTGTTGGCCATTTTGCCTGCCAGCAGCCACTTAAAAAATTGAACGTTGGCAATGCAGATAAGCATCTTGCCTTGGCTGCTATTGGCATTGAGGGGAAAAGAATAGGTGAGGCTGTCAGGGATCCTTAGGGCTGGTTCCATTGCTACTCATGACAGTGGTTTAACTTGTTCCTAGGCAAAGGTCTTTAGGTGACTAAGCATGCTGTTAAACTGTTTTTAAAGGTGATTGTACACCAGCCTTCCCCAACCTGGTACCTTTTAGATGGTTTGGGCTACAACTCCCATTGACCATAGCCATCATGGGGAATGGGCATGGAAGATGGTAGTTCAAAACAAGGTGCAGGAGGAAGACTGGTGTTCAATATTGGGTAAAAAATTGCCATGGATGCAAGCCTTCATCCTATTTAATAAAATAAACAAGAGTTGGAATCCTATAGGAATCTTGTGTCACACTCTTCTTATTTGTTTTATTTTTCCTAAGAGGAAATTATTATTCCTAAGAGGAATAGCTGTGCTTAGTTTCTTACAGGAAGAACAATAACCAAGTGTCATGGGGCACCCTAAAGACTGACATACATTGTGGCATAATTTCTTGGGGATCAGCAATTTCATATCCGTATTCTCCCTCTTTTTGTGCATTTGATGAAGTGGACTCTGGTCCATGAAAACTTTTTCCATATTAAATCTGGCAGTCTTTAAGGTACTGCAGGATCCTTTTGTGTGTGTGCTTTGCTACCAAAGTCACAAAGACTTCTGCCTCCTTGCAGCTTTTTACTGATTTTTGCGTGCACACACATGCACTCAACCCCAAATCAGAATGCTTGTAATAAAAGCCTTAATATGAAATTGTGGACTGTGAGGAAAGTCTTCCATTTTAAAAATGACATTTTAAGCTATTAAGAAAACATGTTGGATAGGTGACAGCAATTTTCAGCTAGATCTATGAGGCAATATATATTATAGATGTATAGCCCTTATGTCTTTTAACAGCATTCAATTTATAGTTCTGTCCCTAACGGTTCATTGCAGAATTTTTATCCTTATGCCAAATATAGAGGATATTGTGTATATATAAGCACCGCCAATGGCTTCTTTTTTTCCTTACCCATAATGTAGTTATTCCAAACAAATGCCAAAACTACTGCTTTGTCCGACTGTATGTGACTTTAAAAGATTGGATGACATAAACTTGATTTTTTTTAAAAAGAGAAATCCATATCCAAATGAGAACTAAATGTGTGTGTGGGAAAAACAAACCCTTATCCAGTGAGCAGAATATAGCTGCCCCCTTTAGGTATTAGGCTCTTTGTGGGCCCCTATATGATTGAAGCATCTGATTGGGTGGAGGAGTCAATGGTGGTATCCACCTAAACTGTTTTGCTGGAACTATCAGCTCCCCTAACCTATCAGAGCAGTTTGACCAAACTGTGGGAGGCAGTGGAAGACAGAAGTGCCTGGCGTGCTCTGGTCCATGGGGTCACGAAGAGTCGGATACGACTAAACAACAACAACAAACCTATCAGAGCAGATCTATAGGGTGCATCAGGAGAGGAGAGGGTGGGGAAGCTAACACTTATTGTACTAGTGGAATAGCTGGCTCTCACTTCAGGCCTTTCCCCAATGTGTAGGATGTTGGAGGAGCAGCCAGGCATGGTGTCAGGGCACCATGTTCCCCTGTATTCGTTTGTTAGCCCTTCATGCCGCCAGTGTATGACAAGAGCTAATCAAACCCTTGAAAGATAGAGAACATCCACCCACAAAAGGACAGGAGTATTCACCGGTGTTTAGTTGTATGGTTATGCTCTGCTTTCAGCAATCATCTTTTGTTTTAAACCTTTTTAAATCTCCTTGAGCTAGAGCAGACATAATGTTTCCCATCCCTGAACCATGCTCAAAGGATTGAAAATGCACCATAGGTTTATTAGCTTCCTTTCTCCCCAACCCCTTTTGCCATACTTCATTGTTTTGCCAACATTCAACAATAATGAGGATTTGCTCCTGACACTTTGGATTTGAAGTCATAGCTAGAATCTGGTTTCACTTCTTGGATTAGGACCAAATCCTAGTTTGTGTTAACCGTGGCTAACATCCATGTACAATGGGTAACAACATCAAGCCATGTTTAAGGGATGAATGTAATGTATATTGATTGGCTCATTGTCTGGAGATTACTTATCTTTAACAGAGGTTTTGGCAGCTTTACTTTCTTTGTGTTTGGCTGGCTTCTTTCTGCAGTCTTGCATCTCGCACTGGAACATTAACATAACTCAGGTGTGCATTGGTTTTCTGTGCATTTGTCATGTTGAGGTGTCAGAATGAGCCATTGGAGCACTTACGTTTTAAGGCATTTATGAAGGCAGAAAGCATAAATCTTAACTGGAAATCTTAGTTAACTATGCTTCTTGTTTAGATCAGAGCTGGGGAACATTTGGTGCTCTGGGTGTTACAGGACTACAACTCCCATCATCCCTGATCATTGGCCATTCTGCCTGAGGCTGATGGGAACTGGAATCCAACAAGTTGCTTCATTTAGATGCTGATTGATATTTTAGCTGTCATTTAGTTACTGTGAAATACAGTGGTACCTTGGTTTACGAACTTAATCCGTTCCGGAAGTCTGTTCTTAAACCAAAGCATTCTTAAACCAAGGCGTGCTTTCCCATTGCAGCGGAGGACTCAATTTACAAATGGAACACACTCAACATGTTCTCCTTCCAAGGCAAAGTTCACAAACGAAAACACCTACTTCCAGGTTTGCAGCATTCTTAATCCAAGTCGTTCATAAACTAAGCTGTTCTTAAACCAAGGTACCACTGTGTCCCTGTATTCGTTCTATAGTGTATTGATCCCATAGTCTTTTCTGTGTAAAATGTTGGTTGGTTTTACTTCTACCCATAGCAATTGCTTGACAGCACTCCTGTTGATACTCTCATCTAGAGGCATAAATGGCGCATTTAGGTGTCATTTGGTAACAGAGGCAGAATTACAGGGATTTGGTAGAGCTTTGGGGGAAAGAGATTTCAGAGCCCTCTTATTGTTATACAGTTCAAGAGGTGCCCCCCAAAAGCAGTGACTTTCAAGAGCACCTTTCCCCGCATACCTCATAATAATCAGAGACATAGGTGCTTCTGAAAAATTATCACAAGTGGTCCAAAATATTTGAAAACTGAGGTAGTAATTGAAGCACCCTTGCCCTCTCTGAATGACACTTCTGCTTAAAAGAGGCTGCATGCATTCACCTACCAAGTTGCATTGTGCAAAATATCAGAAACCTTTGGGAATAGATAGACACAGATGCATCTTAAAGCTCTGTGTGTTTAAAAGCCACAGGTGGCTCTCAGTATTTTGCTGTAAAACATCTCATCAGTCCAAGCTGCAATAATCATTATGGCATTAATGATACAGACTCATATCTGGGGGACGATGCAACAAGTTCTGCGAGCCCAAGAAGACTTTGGGTTTGTGTTTCTTGAATAGCAATGCATCGTGTCAAAGTTCTTTTTGAAATGAAAGTTTCCAAGAGCCTGCTGGCCATAGGGTTCTGCCTAAAATGTGTGTATCTGCGTGTATGTTAGCTTTCTAGCATCTCTCTTTTAATGTTTCGAGTGAATTTAGTGCACTTGTACTTTTAATGAAAATTGTGTACCTGCCTTGAATTTTAACTTTTAAAAACCTGGATGGTAGTTGAAACATTCCAGCAGAACTAAAAGGAAAGTGGGTTTAGTGAAGTTACTAACAGTATGATCCACAGCTGTGTTAAGCTAAGCGAATGTTCAGCCTGATCGGCTGTTTATCCCCTTGTGTGTACTCAAGCTTACTCTCAGCTAAGCACAGACATGGGAATATGACTTTACCTTTTATTTCAGAGGGACTAGCAGCTTAGTCCTAACCACATTTGTTATTCAGATGTCCCATGCAGTCTGAAGAGGCTTACTGAAGTACATACATTTAGAAGTGAAGCCTACATTGGCAAAGATTTGAATACATCTCCTTAATTAGGCTGTGGATTGTATTGTAACAACATACTTGTAGAGTCTGCACTTTATACTAGGGTGGGGTGGGGAGGAATCTATTTTTAAAGAAGTTTCTTGCACTACTAGAATTATTTAAGTGACAATGTATTTAGATGACAATGAAGGCTTATATAAAAATATAATGTTTTGTTCTTGATGAGGGGGTGAGGAGTAAGGGTTGGGTATAAATCAAGGAAGGGCATGTTTAATATCTAATTAGGGTGTTCACCACTTTTACTGCATGTGGCTTCTTGGTCCACTTTTGTGGAAAAAGAGACTTTAAAACTGAAGATAGTTTGATCTCCTAGAAAGCCGAGGCAGATTTTGGAAGTATTCTCTGTAAATGCCCTTTTTAAGCTACAAATTAAAACAACAACTGCATACTTGCACCTGAGTGAGTTTTGCCCTTTTGAAAACAGGGGTTGTAGCAACGTGAATGGTCCCTGAATTGCTTTCTAAACGTCCTTGAAGGTTTACTGTGAAATAGCAAAATATCATTAGAAGTCTGGGGGACGGGGAGGACTAATGCCCACTCTGCAGACTCACATGCCTTATTCATGTGATATACATTCTCTAGACGAGTTTATATTTCCTGAGTATTGACAGAATTGGAATTTAAGATTATTCGCTAAATGTCGTGCTTTTTAAAATTCAGTTCTATAAGGCATTGGTCAAAACCCAGCTCTCTTCTGAACAACCTATCAAGAGTTCTGTTTCTGCTACTAGAAAGCACTCCAGCGAAGTGGTTAAAGAAAGGTAAGATTACTTGCATTTAGAAAGTGAAACTTTTTGATAGCATATTTCCTGACTTAATATTGTGTTTAAACTAGAGCTGATGCAAAAGCTGCACTGCTTTGTGAAGTCATTGGGCACCACCCACCACGATGTATAATTTTCCACTTGCCCAGCCGAGATGGTTGCTGGTGGATTGTGGCCATTGTCTTAAAGTTAGGTTGTGCTTTATATATATATATATATAAGCTTGAACTGAATATGTGCCTGTACTAAATTTTGTATGCAACGCCAAAAATCACAGCACAATAATGATTTGTTGATGTTTGTCAATGGTCTTGCTTATTAGTCGTTTTTTTTAATAACCACACAAGTATGTAGGAAGGCTTTTTAGAATGTAGTATATAAGTTGGTAATGCTTATAGAGGCTACATATCTAATTCACAGTGAAGCCTTGCATGACTGAAATATTTGCTGTACGTGACTGACCAATACTCACTTGCTTCATAGAAGAAACTAACATAGCATTGTATGTTCTGTAGAACAAAACCGTGTGTGTTCCTTTTTCTTCCTCCTCAAGGGTGCAACTTCTCAAATCAGCATCCTATCTGCAACATTAATTAATACCAATGGAATTTGTGCAAGGACTCTATTGAAATGGATTGATGTTCTTTCTTACTCAGCACAGCTTAGCCAATTGCATTTCTGGGTTTCTCCCTCTATGCACAGTGGGGCGCTGGGTGGGATGCTAAAACGTCAAGGTTTCAAATCAGACAGACATGGGCACAGTACCCAAATGCGGGAGAGTTCTGCCAGGCCTCTGTCCTCCCTAATCCCTCGACAGAACTGCAGATCTAAGCAGCATGAAAGACAAAATAGATTTGCACCTCCAGTATATCCAAACCCCATGAGTGCACGTCTGTTAAATGGGAGCACAAGAGGTGCACTTAGACCACTCATTTTCTCCACTGCCTCCTGGCATTGTCTGTATGCATAACAACATAAGAACCACCTTGAAGGGTTGCATCAAAGGTTCACCCATTCCTGCATCCTGAGTCTTTCTGTGGCCAGCCTGGTGATTCCTAGGCATGACGATGGCAGCGCTCTCCCACGGTTTCGCCCCAGCCACTGGCATTTAGTGAAACACTGCCTGGGAGCATGGGAGTTTTTATGGCCTAGTCTCTTCTCTTTAGTTTTGTCCAATTCCCTTTTCAAAACCTCTAAACCTACCCTGAGGCCCATTTCCAAAATGCCTTGTGGCAGCAAGTCCTTTAATTGCTACAAAATAAAAAAAATCCCTTCCAGCAGCACCTTAGAGACCAACTAAGTTTGTTATTGGTATGAGCTTTGGTGTGCAAGCACACTTCTTCAGATACACTGAAATTTAATTGCTGTGCTTTGTGTGAAGTGTTTTCCCCATGCCTTTGCACTGGGATGGGGAAACAGGGGAAACAGAGCTCCATTGAGTATTATGGGAGTCCTCTGCACATGCTGTGCCTGTGCGCCACTGGATTTCCTATCAAGAAAACGTTTATAACTTCTGCTCCCAGGTTTCTCTAGTAATAGTTCTAGATTTTGATTTGGACCACTGTTGAAGAGATGCAGCAACTTGCTTAATGAATGGGGGCTCATGTACCACATTCAAACTATGTTTAAAAGAGAGTTGCAACCCAGGAGTGCATTGGTATCTGTACAAATACACAAATTTCCAGAAGCTGATGGTGGGATTGCATCCTTGCACCACAGGAGGGAGATAGAGGTCAAATTCAATGTTATTAAAAATGTTGCAGCATTTTTAAGTATCTATATATCACCTGCGAATCTGCTGAATTTTAAATTTCTCTCTCACTGTTGTCATAGCAATTAGCATAATATATCAAAGCTGAAAACCATATATATACACATTGTGATGGTTTTAAAATCTGAACACGAAATGCTGCTGGATGGTTTTTACTGAGCTGCGTGGAAAAAGAGAAATAAAAAGTTGTGGTCGAAAACCCAGAACCAATTTGCTTTTCCTGTCTTTTCCCAGTCTTGTCGTTTATCTGTCTGTCTCAGCAGGAAACAACACTGCTGTCAGCTATCCTTTTCAATCTGTCTTTCTGCTGTCACATAAAGTTGAAAGGGCAGATATACTGACACTGTCCAGGGTCCAAAGAACCGCTTTGAGGCTTTTTACAATCAAGCAGTGTATAAACTGTATGAAATAAATAAGTAGATAAACGATGGAACAAGCTCTGTGGGGCCTTCTGCAAATAGTTGTCTGTCCTTTACCTCTTGGCAAGGAGAGTTTCAAAATCAGTTTGCAATAGGTGGTGGCTGCAGTGATGGTAGTCAGAAGTCTGGAGCAAAAAAATCAAATACCACTCTGTGTGTGTTTCATAGGGAGTTGCCAGCCAAGTATTGTCTACTCTGATTGGCAGCTCTCCAGTCCTCAGAACCGCCTGGTACCTCATCCTTTTCACTGGATATGCCAAGGATTGAACTAGAATCTTACCAGTCAATCATAGTATTTCCTTTAAAAAAAAATAAACTGTATATTTTTAGTTCAGTGGCTATGCATCTTTGGAAAGGAATGAACAGACTAAAAAACTAACAAGGCACATTGTGGATGTGGCAGGTATATAAGAGAAGAAAAAAAATAGCATAAGTATAGATTTTAATATACTGAAATAAATAAAAGGCCAACAAAAGAGCATTGACATCTAATTGTAAGATGTATTTTAATAGAAATTGTATTTTAATATTTTGCTGGAAGCCGCCCAGAGTGGCTGGGGGAAACCCTGCCAGATCGGCTGGGTATAAATAATAAATTATTATTATAATTATTATTTATTGTAAGGAAATAATTGAGTGGGGAGGGGAATAGACACATGAGTTAAATCATGGATGAGGAAAACAAATAGGGGGGAACACTAATTAAAGCTGCTTCCAGATGAATTCATACTTTGCGGGGAGACTACATTGAGATGGGGCGATTATTAAGGTACATTATAAAGGCCTACCAAATACAAGCATAATCCTCAAGCTCTGCTGGCTCTTGGTATTCTGGTTTTTGAAACTGTTTTAAATATATTTTTGATCTTCTCCCCTCCACCCCAGAAGAACTGTTTTTCATACTGAATTTTAAGTTGTAACCTGCCCTGGGACTGTATAGCATAGGGTGATAAATGAAATCTAATGATAGTTATAAAATATTGAATGTGGTGGACCAAGGGGGAAATATGTCTGTGTAGATTGCAGAAGCGACTGAGAGGTCAGTGCAGTGCAAACACACTGGGAGGAACACCTGATTGGTCCTGCCAGTGTGTTTGTATGGCACAGACCTCCCCACTCCCTTCCCCTCTTCCTGTCAGTAAGCAACAGCTACCCACTTGCTGGAGAGCTGGCATAGATGCTACACCCAACCCAGTGAGCCAGTTGTGGTAGATTGAGAATGCCCTCCCTCCCTTACAAAGCGATTATGAATTTGCTTGAAATGCAGCAAAATTTCACGGGGGGGATAACAAAACTAGTCTTGGTATGATTTGCTTTTAGTTTGAGGTTGCCTTGCTCATGGAAGATTTCAGAGGTCCATAGAGTGATATAGAGCATGTGCTTATACAGAATAAATATTTAAAGTAGGTGCAAGGTCATGGTATTGAAAGGGCTACGAGCAACACTACATTAGTTGCTTTTCCTTTGTGCAGGAGGCCAGTTCTAGCAAAATGCACTAGAGGGAGCTCATGTATGTGGTACTGGAATATATCTGGTCAACTGTTTTCTGTTGTGTTCCAAGCCTCTCCTCACACATTCACACATTATGCATTGGCAGAGGCCAGTGTCCCCATAGGCCTCATGCTTCCATATGTATTGTGCTTCCCTGCACATTTATATGAAAATCTTATATCCTGTTAGCCAAACGTACTCGCCCCCAGTTAGAATCATGCACAAATAGTTAACTGTGCACTTCAAAAGAGAAAAGAATGGCCTGTCAATTGAAATGCACAAATAAACTTCCAGAAACCCCACGTTTTAATCTGTATTTGATGAGGGATTATGCTGATGGGGACTGATGGGAGTTGGAGTCCCACAGCTTCCATTGGGCATCACATTGGCTACCCCAATCTAGCACAATTCCTCTGGCACCCATTGTTCCTGACTTTGGGACTTTGTCAGCTGCACAATAATATTCTCCTGGAATGTCTTGTTGAATAAGTCAGGTAATAAATCTGGTTTCCACCATATAAATCTGTGCGGCAGAAAGGATGCAGGTAGAGCTGGAGTTAGGAGTTTGGTATTGGGGGGGGGTGTTTTTAAAACAAATTTTTATTTATTTTTAAACAAATACAAATGCAATAACTATTAAACACTTATCCAGCAGTACAGCTAATGGTGTTCGTTTTAGGAGTTTGATATAGTTGAGTTCTTGCCTGCCCAATAGCATCATAGGAAGTTAGGCTCTAAAAATCAAAGTAGTTTTCAGCTGGCTGTCCCTAGGAAGCATATGTTTTTATGCCAGACAGAAGCTTTACTGCTGCTGGTGAAGAGTCTGACTAGCTGTGTGTAAGACTACTGAGGGAGAGAGAGAGAGAGAGAGAAGCAAATGGAAACACCTCCTCTGATCAGGGCCCAATTGAGAACCAGGAAGGTGTGGATCCCCCCCTTCCTATGAAGCAGGTTGTTGCCTGTGGCACCTCATGCTGCAATAAATCAGTTTGTCTCTATAGTGCCCCAGATTTCTCAGCATTGCTGCAACAGATGTATTGAATCGCTTCCACCTTGTGACATGCTGACAGTGAGGTTGCATTGGAGTGGAATTGCTGTCAGCAGCAGCTTTGGTTTCCTTTGATGTACAGATTCTCATCTGCAAGTTAAAAGAATCCACGGGTTTGTTGATTTATTCTCATCCATGGTTCATAGGCAGATATTTGCATCAGCCACCAACCATTGCAATTTGCTTAGAAAGTGCCAATGTATATAAATACACCTATGCATATAAGATCGCCATACTATATTTAAAATTTTACCATTTAAAACTGGGAGAACATCCTTGTGGGCCTTATTTTAATATCAGTCACTAGAAATTATGCCGTCCTAGGCGTCTTTGATTTAGGCTCGCCCATGGGTTAAAGAAAAGCTCTGAAGATGGCCTGCCCTTGTCAGAGAAGTTTTCAGCTTCTTTTGATCTGACAGAGATCAGGCTATTTAGCCTGGAGCAATTCACTGTGATCTCAGTGTTTTCCGAAGTACTTCCATCCACCTACTGATTTTATTTAATTCTAGGCTATTACCAAGCTAGCGTACTTGTGTGCCCCTTCAGGTCACTTGATATAACATGCATAGCCTTCATTCTACGATGCTCAGAAATGACCATAATTAGAGCGGCCCTAGCGATTTCTGTCCAGCACGGTTTGCAGACATACACAGGCATTCCTAGATGTTGCTCAATCCTCAAATGCGTTTGTATCCTGTCCCTGTGTGAAGAAGGAGCAGATGTACTGCTGAAGAATAATCAGAGCCAGGTAGACAGGAGTTCTGTCAGCGTTCAGCCCTGCCCAGACCTTGAACCTCAGGTCTCCTCAGGGGCAGGACCTTCTAGCAGATCTCAATCTTATCAATGTGGAGGAGACATCCAATTGGAACAAGCTCTAGCCTTCCTGACCTTGGGGAAAGGGACTCCTACTCATGCAGAAGCTTCTTCTCTTTTGTGATGAGAATGTTCCATGTATGCATAGGGATGTTCCACGTATCAGTATCATTATTAATTTGTACCCCACCCATCTGACTGGGTTGCCCCAGCCACTCTGGGCGGCTTCCAGCATATATAAAAACATATTAAAACATTAAACCTCAAAAAGCTTCACTATACAGGGCTGCTTTCAGATGTTTCCTAAAAGATATATAATTATACATCTCCTTGACATCTGATGGGAGGGCATTCCACAGGGAGGGCGCCACTACCAAAAATGCCCTCCGCTTGGTTCCCTGTAACCTCACTTCTCGCAGTGCAGGAACTGCCAGAAGGTCCTTGGTGCTGGATCTCAGTGTCTTGGTGCTGGATCTCAGTGTCTGGGCTGAACGGTGGGGGTGGAGATGCTCTTTCAGGTACACAGGACCGAGGCCATTTAGGGCTTTAAAGCTCCGCACCAACACTTTGAATTGTGCTCAAAAACGTACTGGGAGCCAATGTAGGTCTTTCAGGACCGGTGTTCTATGGTCCCGGCGGCCACTCCCAGTCACCAGTCTAGATGGCACATTCTGGATTAGTTGTAGTTTCCAAGTCACCTTCAAAGGTAGCCCCATGTAAGCGCGCATCGCAGTAGTCCAAGCTGGAGATAACCAGCGCATGTACCACTCTGGTGAGACACTAGGTAGGGTCTCAACTGGTGTACCAGGTGGAACTGGTAGACAGCTGCCCTGGACACAAGTATGCAGGAGGAGTTTCTCCTGTAGACGGAAAACTATATGAGGGAACGATAATACTGTGGATGCTGTGTGAGAATGTGCAGACACACATGCTGAGATTGCTGTGTAACCAAAAAATTATATATATGGGAGTTGTAATGTAACAGCATCTCAAGGGACACAGGTTCCCTTCCCCTGAACTAGACAAATTGCTTTTTCAAGTCTTGTCTATAAATAGCTGGTCATTGATTTGGAAACAGTATACTTGCTGCTTGTTGTTGTTGTTGAGTCGTTTAGTCATGTCCGACTCTTCGTGACCCCATGGACCAGAGCACGCCAGGCACTTCTGTCCTCCACTGCCTCCCGCAGTTTGGTCAAACTCATGCTGGTAGCTTCGAGAACACTGTCCAACCATCTTGTCCTCTGTCGTCCCCTTCTCCTTGTGCCCTCCATCTTTCCCAACATCAGGGTCTTTTCCAGGGAGTCTTCTCTTCAAATGAAGGAGGACGTGGGGTCTTCCTGCTTTCTTTGCCTTGTTTCCACCTATTCTCCAGCAGCAGTATGAATCCTGCTGTCCTGAAACAGGCTTTTGAATTGAATTCATTCTGTATATTGATGAAGAACGTAAGAAGATCCTGCTGGATCAGGCCAATGGCCCAACTAGTCCGGCATCCCAGTGGCCAACAAGATGCTTATTCGAAACTTGAAAGCTGGACCTGAGCACAACATCACTCCCCACTCCTGTGATTCCTAGCAACTGGAATTCAGAGACAAAATTGCTCTGACAGTGGACATAGAACCTAGCCATCGTACATACACCATCAAATTGAAAGAGACAATACAGTGTAACTGTAAATTATTTCCTAATACCTTTTGGAATAATAATAATATAATAATAATAATAATATGAAGACACAATACATTCCTTATCGTTTGCTATTATTAAAGAAAACATGCTGACTTTCTCAAATCAGTTAAGTACTTCAAAAAAATATTTTTAGGTAAGGTTGGTTTACTCATTGAGTAAGCCAACACTGGTATAAACTTACATGGCAATACATCTCTTAGTGTGAATCGTAAGCATATTTACATGGAAGCAAGGTCCACTGAAGTCAGTGGGAGACTTGCTTCACAGGTTAGGGGTGGCTAGCCTGTGACCCACAAGATGCCCTTGGATTTGGCTCCCATCATCCCTTACCATTGGCCATGCTGGCTGAAGTGATGGGAACTGGAACTCAGTGACGTATGAGCAACCACAGGTTCCCCATCCCTGATCTAGGTGATATGGGTGAGATGACTGGATCTGAAGCCTGACTTTCCCTAGGGCTTTATGAATGAAATTGGTTTCTGCCAGGAGCAGGGCCTTTTTAGTTGTGAACCCAGAGCTTTGGAACACTCCCCCTCAAGGGGTTATTTTCTGATCTTCTTTGATCATGTCTTCAGGTATATGTAAAAACCTTTGGGTAAGATGCAGAAAGCAACTTCGTGTTTACCCAAAGGGCTCTCATACACCACACACACACACACACACACACACACCCTGTTGGTTCACTGCCATCACCTCTACTTGGGACATTGAACTCCCGTCTCCTATTGCAAACTGCTGTTGAAACTCTCCAAAGGGAGGCTGGCTTAGGAGGGAAAATACCAAATTAAATGCATAGTTCTTTGGAGTCTGGCTGTTGATCGGACATAACAGTGGCCAATCAGTTTGCATGGAATGTAAATGATCGAAATAGCTTTGCTTTTCTGTCTTCTTTTCCAAGCAGTGTTAACTGTTAACATATTTGCTTTTCCCCCTCCTCAGAGCTTTACAGACAGTTCAGTTGGGATATGCAGATGTCTTGGATTACCTTGTTAGAAGTCAGAAGCTTGATCTCAGTGTTGCTGATGAAAAGAACAGAAATCTAATATTTTTAGCCACTATATATGATCAGTCAAAGATCTTGGATTATTTCCTTGAAATGGTCAGTCACTCAGAAGATTCACATTTACATTTATTTTTTAGGTTTTTGAAACTCTTATTATAAAGCAGGAGGTGTGGAGGATGTTACGCCTGCAAACCTATGCACATTTACATGGGAGTAAGCCATGTGGGAGAGAATTACATTTACTTCTGAGTAAGCTTGTCTAGGATTGCACTGTAAATTGCTATTTAGGTGTAACTTTGATTCTGATCTGCACTCTCATTCCTTTAGATTTTAAAAAAATGGATTCATTTTATGTGATAACGTGAATTTGCAAACATGTCACATTTACACTTTAGATGTTTTGCCATCTACCGCATTTTTTGCTCTATAAGACTCACTTTTTCCCTCCTAAAAGGTAAGGGGAAATGTGTGTGCGTCTTATGGAGAGAATGCAGGCTGTGCAGCTATCCCAGAAGCCAGAACAGCAAGAGGGGTTGCTGCTTTCACTGTGTAGGGATCCCTCTTGCTGTTCTGGCTTCTGAGATTCAGAATATTTTTTTCTTGTTTTCCTCCTCCAAAAACTAGGTGCATCTTGTGGTCTGGTGCGTCTTATAGAGCGAAAAATATGGTACTTAAAGCAGGTGAGGGGAACATTTGGCCCTCCAGATGTTGCTGAGCGACATCCCCTAGCATCCCAGGCCACTGGCCATATTTGCTGGGGCTGATGAGAGTTGTTCTTCAGCAACATCTGGAGGACCAAAGACTCCCCATATCCAACCTAAAATGTCTTTGGTACACATCTGAAACTACAATGTGTGAAGCAACCTTCAGGGGTGTGAGGCTGAGTTAAATGACTGCTTCTGAAAACTGCACAGCTGTTGATCCATTATCCCCCAAGGGTAATGTGCAGGTTTATGGAGTGGTGATTGTTCAATTCCACATGGTGTTGCAATTGTCTTTTTGCAGAAGCAAGCTGGTGTCAACTTTATTAGTTCAGGGAAACGTCTGCCTCCCAAACTCAGTAGCATCTCTCGGAAATTGTTTTCCTTGGAAGCGTGAATTACAGGGAGATGAGCTCCTCAATAAGCTCAGAAGTAATTTACAGTGAATTCCTCGGCTTATCCACTCAGAAGTAAGTTCCACGGAGTTCAGTGGGACTTATTTCTAGGCAAGATTAGCACAGAACAGAAAAAGGCCAATGTTGCAATCGGAATTCTTATAAAAGAGTTATATAGCACTGTTAGATGCCATAAGTATTGAGAGGCTCTGCAGAGGTACTGTTTCTTCTTAACACCCAAGAGGTCATCGTCTTGATCAAGAGCCATCATTATCTTCATAAATGGTGGCGTTGGTGATGATGACAACAATTACTGAGGAGGTTATACAAGTTGAGCATGCTCAGTTGGCATGGGATGCTGACCTGGGGTGGGGGCGAGAGCAGGGTGATGGAGTGACAGGGAGAATGAAAAATCCAAGCCACTCTGCCTCTGGGTCCTGCATCTCGCATTTGGGTCCCTCCTCCAGCTCACTCCATTTCAACCCCAATTCTTTTCTGCAACTACGTTCATCTATCACAAAATTTAGATACAAAAGCTGTGCAAAGCTGAGCATTTAAAGAAATTGAGAATAATTCTGCTGGATCAGACTGAAGACCTAACTTCTTAGTCCAACATCTTACTTCCCACAGTGATCAGCAAGATACCTCCAGGAAGCCAAAAAGCACAGGGCATGAAGGGACTGGCCCTCTCTTGCTACTCAGTGGTATATTGCCTCTGAACTTGGAGGTTCTATCCGAGAAAGCAGCAAAGGGCCAACCACCCCTCCCCCTCCATTACTAGATCTCTGTTGCTTCTTGGAGAAAATATTTTTTTCCCACATACAAAATGAGAACTGAATCAAAGTGGAAATTAAAACAAGGCTGGGACTACTCTCATGCACCCAAAACCAGCGTTAAGCAGGATTGATCTCTCAGCTGGTGCATGGAGAAGTCAACCCTCCTCCCCCTACCTCTACAGGCCAGCCTTGACAGGTGGGCACCATCACCCACCTGTCAATCATCTGATGTAATTAAGGTGTTTGGTGATTGACAAGCGGGCCCACCGCCTGTCATAGTTGGCCCATGAGGTTGCCAGTGGTGGTGGGAGATAGAGATGGGAAACCTTTTTGGCCTTCTGGGCCAGATCTTTGTTATACGGCAGTGGTCCCCCATTAGCCAAGTACTGTGTACCCCCTGTTTTTCAAAAGCCAAGCCATGGAAACCCTTCTTTTGAAATAATGGATATCTCTAGGGTAGTTTTTGTTATGTGAATTGTGCCACAGACCCCTGGGTGGGTTACTCCCAGGGGTCCTCAGGTCACCAGTTGGGAACCACTGTTATATCGCATTTGCTTTTCCATTTCATTTGATAAACCTGTCCTGTCATTGCAAAGGCAGACAGGGCTTCTCTTTCTAAACTCCTGATAGTCCAGAAAGCTATGTGCTCCACAGGGAAGGGAATGAACTTCCTTTTGTGGTGAGGTCACTTGGGTAAAGGGTAAAAAGGTTGCTGTTGCCTCCTTAGCAGGCATTGCTTCCTAGTGCCTGGATTAGCAGGAATTCTGCAACTCCCGTGCTGATGCACAGTTCTATTTTAAACTGCCGTACCCTGACAGTCTGGAGTAGTATTGCTTCCCTTGCGTATTGCTGTCTTTCCACGATTTCAACAGGGATCTTTCCTATCTCGGGCTCTTTAGCTAGAGATTGCAGGAATTGAACCTGATTCTTCATGTGTGGGAAGCTTCAGATCTTCCAGAGATGTGCCCCATTCCACGCTCTGTTGCTGCATTGCGATAGTGAAGTGGAACCTCCAGGTTCAGAAGCAGTATACTGTTAAATAACAGTTCCTGGGGGCCAGCAAGAAATGTGTGCAATTGCCTTCATGCCTTTAATGTGGACTTCCCAGAAGGTACTGACTCTGCACTGTAGGAAATGAGATACAGTACCAGTTGGACCTTTGTGATCTACAAGGGCTTGATTTATCTCACTGTAAATCTTTTAAAATGCAAGTCTTTATACGCTCCAAATCCCCAAGTGTAAAACTCCAAAACCGTCAATGAGATTTCTGATGCTGCTGTACTTACGTAGTTAAATTTATTTCAACATCTAGCCTATCTGAAGAGAGGTGAGGTGGGGTGTTTTTTTGGGGGGGGATGTATTTTTACATTAAGACCTAATTGAATAACAAAACTTATTTCTCCATGAGTTTTCTAGGTGGTTTAGAAATGGAAATTACTTTAGTTTTAAAACTTCAAGGCAAATGAGAATTAGAGATGAAAGTGACCTAGAAATCAAAAAAATTAATGCATTGACAAAATGGGTCCAGCAACAAAATTTTGCAGCATGGAGTGTTTCTGTTTAAGGTTACAACCAACCATATTCTTTACTGGGAGAGCTCTTTTATTTCCCTTCCTTGGGTTTTGTCCAGTCCAGCATTCTAGGTCCATTGAGCATGCTCAGTCCTTATTGACCTGTTTTTAGGGTTCCGCCCTCAAAAAAATATTTATATGTCTGGAAATCAGGGTTCTCAAAAGCCTGATGATAATTCCTTTGGTGTGAATGTGTGCAGTTTTGGCTACATAAGGCTCTACATTCACAGAATGAGTTTGCTATTAGTATACAATGGTACTTTGGTTCTCAAACTTAATCTGTTCTGGAAGTCTATTCCAAAACCAAAGCATTCCAAAACCTAAGCCGCACTTTCCCATAGAAAGTAATGCAAAATGGATTACTTCATTCCAGACTTTTAAAAACAACCCCTAAAACAGCAATTTAACATGAATTTTACTATCTAACGAGACCATTGATCCAAAAAATGAAAGCAATAAACAATGTACTGTAGTCACACAATCGATCCATCAGTAGCCAAACTGGGTTCCACACAGTCACACACAAAAAAAGAGCTTCAAAAACAAAAACGCAAAATAAATAGCAAAAACAGACAGACCTCAGCATAACACTCAAAACATAAGTGTGGCATTCAAATCAGAAGCATAACACTCAAAACGGAGCACATTCAGCTTCTGAAAAAAGTTCACAAACCGGAACACTTCTGGGTTTGCAGTGTTTGGGTTCCAAGTTGTTTGAGTACCAAGGTACCACTGTACAATATACTAGCAGTGTTGCTCAGGAATTTTAAGAAACCAAAAAATCAGTGCAATTTTGAAAGGTTCAGTTCGCCATCTTCATTCTAAATGGTGTCCAACTGTATCCAAACATAGGTGAAAACATGCTCCTTGATCTCATGAACCATTGTGCAAAATACACTTACGATATCTTAAGAGAAGGTGTTCAAATGCATAACTTGCAACATTTCCCGCCAAATATATAGTAGATTATGTAGGAAAGTGCACAAAATGCCGGCTTTCTGATTTTATTCTAGCTGGCCCTTAGCTCTGCTTCGGTGGGTGAGCAGTATTTCCTGCTAATTTTCCAGGCTCTTCCTGTGCCCAACATAAACCAAGTAGCAGAAAATGGAAACACAGCACTTCATGCCGCAGTAAACACTGGAAAAATGCATCTCGTGTCTTCGCTCTTGCATTACCCTGGAATTAATGTGAATGTCCCAAATCCACAGTGCGATGGGGCGACTGCGTTACATCTTGCTATTGCTTACGGTAATGCTTCAACCCTTTTTTTATATATAAGTTTTGATTTTAAGGTAGTTCTGTCATTTTACAAGTGCAAGGAGGTAATACAGGTGTTTTGCCCCCCTTCCTACGGCCAAATTAGAGGAAACAGTGGAGATTGTGGTCAGATAGAAGCAGCCCAGTGTTGGGGGGAAATTGGGAGTTGGAGGAGGTTTTTCAACCCTTTCTCCCTATGCAAGAGGTGGGGGAATCTCAGGATTGGGGACCAAGTCTCTCTATCTGGGTGGAAAGCCTAGTTAGTGCTTCTCCAGCTTTGGAAAGGAGTTGGGAGGGCTCTAGGACCCCGCCAGAGCCCTCACGCCCCCTTACCTGCCTTTGGGAAGGTGGGGTTGGGGGGTGGGTTTGGCTTTGCACAGGGTGTCATAGTACCCAACTCAACCACCCCCACATCCCAGGCCACACCCCCTCCATTGCCCTGCTTCATGCCCTGAGATTGCCTAGCTCAGGGGTCAGGAAACTTTTTCAGCAAACTTTTGCCCCATAAATAACCTCGAGATGCATTTTAAATAAAAGCACACATTCTACTCATGTAAAAACGTGCTGATTCTCGGACCGTCCGTGGGCTGGATTTAGAAGGCGATTGGGCTGGATCCGGCCCCCGGGCCTTAGTTTGCCTACCCATGGCCTAGCTGGAATGTGCTCCTGAACTCTGACCATGCATCTTGCATGTCTGGATGGAGGTTAAGAGAGGGGGTGTTGGTAGAAACTAGCCAACTTCACAAAGGTAAACTTTACATGTGTTGCTCCGCCTATTTTTGCATCTGGCACCACCCACCACTGGCATGTGGCCCTTGGAAGGTTGCCCAGAAGGGAATGCGGCCCTCAGTTTGCAAAAAGTTCCTGCCCTGTGCCATTTTCCTGATGAGAAAATCATTCCCACCCATTTGCTCCCTAAAGGAAAGCATATGCATGCCATTATCCATAGGTCTTAATGGGGCAAATAACAGCTTTGGGCAGTGGTGCCATCCTGGCAGGGATTTGGGCAAATGTCTAGGGCCCCACTGAATAAAATTGACAGGAAGATCCCCAAATGTAGCCGTGCCGGCTTACCACATTTTAAAAGTTAAGTTATTGTTGTTAGCATCCGTCTGTCTCGAGAGGCAATGGAGTGCACCTCTGGGGGTGAGACTGCAATCCTATATACCTGTTTACCTGGGAGTGAGTCCCACTTGACTCAGTGGGCGTTTCTTTTCCGTAAGCATCGGATTGTGTTATAAGTGATGTAATACACATTAATACACAGTGACTGCATGCCTGGCATCAGGGTGTGTGTGGAGAGGTCAGTTTCATAAACCACAGTGCTAAATATGCTACAGAATAGGGACACTGGGAACTCTACTCCAGCACTGCCATTTTAGAGGAGCTCTCTTAGAAAAGTTTCTATCTGCTCCCAGTGCTGGGTTCCTTTATCATTCAGGTGTAGGGGAGGGAGAAGCAGACTACATTGACAGTGTTAAGTAGATCTCAGAATACTTGTTGTCTGCCCTGTTTGACCTGGAAAATTGTCATGCATGCCACATACTATACCACACATACCTGTCAGGTTGTTTGTTTGTTTTTTAAATCCAGAACATCTAGTCTTGTCCCTGCCCTGACCTTAAAGTCCCAACAGTTTCAAACCACAACAAAATTTAAAGACAAAAAATGAATAAATCACAAGTATTCTAAAACGTGCATTAATATTCCTAAAGGCCGTGTTGACATAGACATCATAATTAAGATGCTTCCTGTTTTCATGTTTTAAGTCTGAAAGGTAAATTTGAAATATTTCACTTGGTAAATTCTAATCCACACATCTGTTGCTAAGCTAGGTAGGAAATTGTTAAGAAACTTTGCTAAACCAGATAGATAAAATCAAAAGTCTTGGAAGACCTGGATTAAGTTCCTGAGATCTGAGCAATACAATTGAAAAATGCACACCAGGTAGCGGGTGATGGAGGACCTCTGTCTGGTACCCCAGAGTAAGAGTGGAGAGCCTCAAAACGTTGTGAGACTCCCAACTCCCATCAGACTCAGCCAGCAAACAGGGATAGTGGAAGTTACCAACACCTGAAGGGGCACTAGTTCCCCATTCCTGTCCTAAATTGTTGGAATTTGTTGGCATCCGTTTCTGGAGACAAGGGAGGCGTGCACCTTTGGGGTGAAGTCAAACTACTGCGGAGCATGCTAGATAAACTGTTGATATTGTTCTGTGTGAGTCAAGTTCGGGTGGTTGTAGAAAATATATTCTGTGCCAAAACACATTTACCTCTTTCTCTCTCTCTTTTAAAATCTATTTAGGGCACCTGGGAATTTGCTATTTGTTGCTGAATGCCACCGCTGATGTAGAAAGTCCCATGGGAGGGTTGACACCTTTGCAACTTGCCGAGATGTTTGGGAATGAAACTATAATCGCCCTTATAAAAATGCACGTAAAGAAATTTAAACTTGAAAATAAAATGTTTGCCTGATCATCTTGTTGAACAACATCCCGTAGAATTTTTGAATAAATACCACCTATTTTAATTTTTCTATTAAAGCTTTCCCCCCGCACAAACTTGGGAGGTGAGTGTGTTTCTTTACCAATGGTGCTCCTTCAGTTATGTTCAATTCTGTTTGGAGTGCTTTATTTTATTTATCTCAATCTGTGGCTGCTTCCTGGTTTTCTTATATTTCTGGGTTCTCAGCTGTGACGGAAGGGACAAACTGCTGGTGGGAGAACAGTATGCTGCTTTGGGGGCAAGAGCAAATTGACTCCTGGAGAACCTGAGAACAGGGAAGGGAGAAAGGGTATAAGTGACAGCTAGTCCTGCCCTGCCTGGAGCAATTAAGTGAGAACATAAGAAGAGCTTGCTGGATCAGGCCAATGACCCACCTAGTCCAGCTTCCTGTTCTGACAGTGGCCAACCAGATGCCTGTGGAAAGCCTGCAAGCAGGACCTGAGTGCAAGAGCATGTTTGCCTTCTGCAGTTTCCAGCAAATGTTCTTCAGAAGCATGGCTGGAGGCAGAGCAATAGCCATCATGGCACGAGTTCTAGTATCATGGAGCCAGTGTGGTGTAGTGGTTAGGAGCGGTAGTCATGTAATCTGGTGAACCGGGTTCGCGTCTCCGCTCCTCCACATGCAGCTGCTGGGTGACCATGGGCCAGTCACACTTCTTTGAAGTCTCTCAGCCCCACTCACCTCACAGGGTGTTTGTTGTGCGGGAGGAAGGGAAAGGAGATTGTGAGCCACTTTGAGACTCTTTAGGGTAGTGATAAAGCACTATATCAAATCCAAACTCCTCCTCCTCCTCCTCCTCTTCTTCTTCTTCTTCTTCTTCTTCTTCTTCTTCTTCTTCTATCATGAGACCACGGGGGCAGATTTTCTTCACTTTCCACTTTCTCCATGATCTTAACTAAAAAGTCCCAAATGCTTCAACCTTTCCTCATAGGAGACCTGGACCCACCATGAACCAGGGTGGAAGAGTAGGAAAGAGGTGAGATTTTTAGGGAGGGCAAAGTACCTGAGATGTTGGGGGAGAAGTGGGAAAAGATGCTAGGATGGTTGGGGTGGAAAAGAGAAGATGGGGGGGAGACGTTCCCAGTATTTATCAAATTTAATGGACATTTACATAGTTTTGGGATATTCAGATACCAGACTCCTTTGCAGTGGGATTGCGGGACTGAATACAGTTGTACCTTGGAAGTTGAATGGAATCCGTTCCGGAAGTCTGTTTGACTTCCAAACCGTTTGGAAACCAGGCAATGGCTTCTGTTTGGCTGCAGGAAGCTCATGCAGCCAATCGGAAGCAGCGTCTGACATGCAGGTTCCAAAGAACATTTGCAAACTGGAACACTCACTTCCGGGTTTGTGGCGTTTGGGAGCCAAAACATTCGATTCACAAGGCATTTGGGATCCAAGGTATGTCAGAATGAGCCCCAGAATAAAACAGCTTTCCTTCCAGATGCAGTTGACATAAGCTGAGTAACATTTACAGGAATAGAGAGGCCGTGAAATCACATTATGCCGATAATGTACTAATATTGTCCTATGAAACTCCAGTTATTAACCCCAACAACTGATGAGTCAACCATTAAAGAATCATGCAATGGGCTTAAGAGCCAAGGGAAGTAAAAGACGGCTTGTCTCCTGTCTCCAGCTTTTTGAACCACTTGCTGTAACGTTGCATGATAACTATGTAAAATCCTGGGCATAGTTATCTGGAAGTAAGCTCCATTGAGCTCAGCGGCACTTACTTCCGATTGCATCGGTTCAGTTTGTGAAACAGGTTCAGCTTTAGCGAAATATTTTCAGCCAGCCAAAGTACAGCTTTTAGCTTTTAGCTAGAAACACAGACATCCTTGACCATTTAAACTGCTGGCATGAAGTAGGAACCCCATCCATGAAAAGTTAAGATGTATCCAACCTTTGCTTTATTGTTTAACTCATTCTCTGCCTTCCTCTATGCTAATCTGTCACAAACAAACTGGAATGGGTTATAATCACCTCATTCACTTGCCAGAGAAAGAAGGATCTGTCAATTCCCCTGGTGCTCTGGCAGATGACTTAATTGCTCCTGCTCTGGAAAAAGGTATTTGAGCTGCATTCCTCTGCAATCCCTCTGTACTGCACCACAGAAGCTGATTACTAATCACTGCAGCCCTGATTTGTAGCCTTCTTGACTCCAAAGATGGTTCATAGCATAGCAATCTTTCATTTGAAATCACAAGGTGGTATACAGTGAAATAAAATATTGAAATTACAATTAAAAAATAATCAGCAGCCAATAGGTTAGGGCATACATAAAATTAATGATCTGGAACAGTGCATTCTTGTTTCAATTTTGCAAAGAGAGCCAGTGTGCTGTAATAGATTGTTCAACTGTAACCTGAGTAACCAGGGTTCAAATCCCCACTCAGCCACAAAGTTCACTTGGTGACCTTGGGCCAATCACTGTCCCTCAGCCTCTATCCTACCTCACAGGGTTGTTGTGAGGATAAAATGGGTAGGGAGAACCACGTACACCACCTTGATCTCTTTGGAGGAAAATATGGTATATAAATGTAATAAACATAATCATAACAAAAACAATAAACATCACTGAGAAATATGCTAGCATAAATTTCTCATTGATGTTTGCAGAATACCAGGTACAAAATGAGATGGGCAACCTAGTTTTTAAATCTTGGTTAGGACTCTTGTCTTCTTAGGGTAACAGCCATGGAGCAGTTAGAAACCCACATGCTAAATATATCAGAATCTGGGCTGCATAGTGAATTGTTTTCCTACACCGATGATGGTGTAAATCCTATTCTGGCCACAAAGGGAATGTAAAGTGCCAAATCCATCTCAGTTCCAGCACCATAAACCACAGTGGGATTTCATCAGGTATTTATTTGACTCCTGTATGCTTGCAGCTTCCTCGGAAAAATTCCTCTATTTAGTGTTTTTTTCCACTCCAAAATTCCTTCTTTGCCTTCTGAAATGCTGGGCTGATTTTCTCCTCCTTATGCAAAATTAACGGAAAATATAGACTGCGTCCCATTTTCTTAATTAAAATACAGATTTTAAAAATGGTAACCAATCCTTGCTTCTACACAAGTCTTTGTTGTGCAGTTATTCTATGCTGCGAATTAATGTTTTATTATTCTCTCTATGAATGCTTAATGATCTTTCAAGATTATTTTAAATGTTTTCCTGGAAGCTCAGCCATTACAAAGCAGCTGCTCAATAACATATATATTTTATGCTTATATGTTTATATTTTAATATTCATTTGGAAAATCCACCCTAAAAAGTTGTGTTTACTCTTTATAACAATGTAGGAAGGAAGGCTTGTTAAATTGTCAATAACCTTCCTCCAACTGTGAGACATCTGGCTAATTAATGAAATTTAGTTCTTTTATGGTGTTATGAGTTTGACTGACTCAGTTAGCAGTAATGAGACGATTTGCTGGGGTTTTGCCTGACAGACTTGATGGGTGATTGGGGGACAAGAGAAAGGGGCTTCAGTGATCCTTAATGTTGCCTGGATTGCAATGTCTATCCAGGCTATGGGTTTTGACACACCTGAAAGAGTTTGGGGTGGGGGGTGGGGTGCAGAACAGAAAGTTAGAAACAAGTTTGGATTTGGGAAAAGACAGCTATGTAAAATGTGTAGCTCAAGTCAGCTAGCCTCGGAGCAGATGGGTTTGTTGCTTTGTAGAATCTGAAGCAGCCTCATTCCACCTAATGATAAGGCCGGTCCTACCTGTAGGATCCATAAGGGAAAAGCTGGATTTGTGATGGTTTGGCTTGCCAAGTGTAACAAGCTCTCAGGGTACTCCCAGAAGGTTACCTTATATCACAAACTGGTCATTCAGGTCTGATTTTTCTTTGTGCACATCTGGTAGGTTAGAACCTACACATTTACATTTTTCAGTTATAATACTCACTGGTGTGCAGCCACTTGCCAACCATATCAGTGGTTGGAGCTCACTCAGCCCCAAGTGCTTTCCTGTCCCTTCCCTCAAGTACTCCCGCACACCTCAACTACTTTTTTCATCATCATCATCATTAGAGCCTGATGATGCACTGTCACTGCAGTCTCGCAGCCAGGTAATCCCCCACATTTACTCTCTGGAGATTCTGAGTATCTGATATGATCCTGTATGAACGTGGCTTGTAGCCATCAGCGGATATAAGTTTATTTGTGTCACAGGAGCGTGCAATTCAGTAATCACACAATTCAAAACTGGAGTTAACTTATTATTAGCCAAAGCACAATCTCTACAGTCTTGGTGAAGTGTCAGGCCTAAAGAGCAGAGCAGCTCATTCCTGGTGGACTTATTCTATGAAAATCAGTTGCTGAGGCTGAAAGTCCCTGCCTCCTCACAGCCGCCTAAGTCCCCTCCTGCTCAGGGTTTTTTTCCAAGTAATCGGAGACTGTGCCTGCATGCAGCCAACCTCTCCTCCGCCCTTTGTATGCCTCTTCTGGTTCTGGGAGACAAGTGGGGAGGGGAGGACTCTTCACCAGCCTGACTCATCTTTGCCTCTTGGCCTCCCTCTTCCAACTCTCCTGCTTCAGCTTCAGCCTCTGATTCCTTCCACTCTTCCTGCATAAATGACAAGTTTTTAGCTACCAGCTATTAAGTAAACAACACAAAATTAGAGTACAGTGGTACCTCGGGTTACACACGCTTCAGGTTACACACTCCGCTAACCCAGAAATAGTGCTTCAGGTTAAGAACTTTGCTTCAGGATAAGAACAGAAATCGGGCTCCGGCAGTGCGGCGGCAGCAGGAGGCCCATTAGCTAAAGTGTTTCAGGTTAAGAACAGTTTCGGGTTAAGAACAGACCTCCAGAACGAATTAAGTACTTAACCCGAGGTACCACTATACAGTTGTAATATTATTGCATGTGAAATTCCTCAATATAATCTGAATATGTTAAATTTCCTCACGTGCGTAATAAACCATTTACTCAACCTTTATTAGCCTTCCCCTGAACAAAAAATTAACTGGAACAAATAATCCCAAACTGCAATAAAAGCAACAAAGTGAATGTAGGGAATCTGATCTGTTTGGGAAAAAAATA